TATCTATATCTATATCTATATCTATATCTATATCTATATCTATATCTATATCTATATCTATATCTATATCTATATCTATATCTATATCTATATCTATATCTATATCTATATCTATATCTATATCTATATCTATATCTATATCTATATCTATATCTATATCTATATCTATATCTATATCTATATCTATATCTATATCTATATCTATATCTATATCTATATCTATATCTATATCTATATCTATATCTATATCTATATCTATATCTATATCTATATCTATATCTATATCTATATCTATATCTATATCTATATCTATATCTATATCTATATCTATATCTATATCTATATCTATATCTATATCTATATCTATATCTATATCTATATCTATATCTATATCTATATCTATATATCTATATCTATATCTATATCTATATCTATATCTATATCTATATCTATATCTATATCTATATCTATATCTATATCTATATCTATATCTATATCTATATCTATATCTATATCTATATCTATATCTATATCTATATCTATATCTATATCTATATCTATATCTATATCTATATCTATCTATATCTATATCTATATCTATATCTATATCTATATCTATATCTATATCTATATCTATATCTATATCTATATCTATATCTATATCTATATCTATATCTATATCTATATCTATATCTATATCTATATCTATATCTATATCTATATCTATATCTATATCTATATCTATATCTATATCTATATTCTATATCTATATCTATATCTATATCTATATCTATATCTATATCTATATCTATATCTATATCTATATCTATATCTATATCTATATCTATATCTATATCTATATCTATATCTATATCTATATCTATATCTATATCTATATCTATATCTATATCTATATCTATATCTATATCTATATCTATATCTATATCTATATCTATCTATCCATATCTATCTCTAATTCTGTTAATTAGCTTGCAGCCCTGAAGCTGAACACCTTGTCACAGTTTTAAGACGTTGTCAGCAATTGTGCTCGCTCTCACTCAGCTCGATCTCAGTTGACATCGCATACATCGCTCCAGATTTATATATATATATATGTGTGTGTATCTATATATATCGGACAAGTGTGCGCAAATAGAGCTGTGTTTTGAATGCTGAATCTTTGATTTGATTGCTTCACAGCTGCGGGGATGAGTTTGATTCTGTGAAAGAGGAAACTGCTGAGGCTGCATATGAATCGAGAGATTTCTTCACCTATTCCCATGGCATTCGAGCAGTGTCAAAAGCTGAGGCAGCGCTTTGATGTCGTGAGATTATTAGAGATAGAAATAGTAAAAAAATATTAATAAAAATCGCAAACCAAACATAAAACAAAAACGTTTTGCAATTTATTATACACAGGCTAAAAAAAAAAATGGAAATAAAAAAAAAAAAAAAAAAAACTCTACGGGATTTTCTTTACGATGGGAAAGGGGTCTCGGCTTCTATGGAGTGCGATGGCTGGGATGCATTTGGTTTGAGATTTGTTGGGCCTTTTGAATTACTTGGCTGGCTTAGTCGCGCATTTAAGGCCCATAAATGTAACGCCATTATCTATAAATCTGCAGCGGAAAACATAACTCAAAAATAACAAAACAAGCTAACACACAAAACATAAACGAAATAAGATATTTTTAATTAATTGTCACTGGAAAAAAACAAAAAATACAACTACACCGTTTTATGAGAAGCTGCACGTGACCGACGGCAAAAACAGCAGAAAGAAACAAAATTAAAAAAAAAAAAAAAAAAAAAAAAAAAAAAAAAATATATATATATATATATATATATGTATAAGAAAAAATATAAACTAAAAAAGAGACCAAATAAACATTTAGATTAAATCTGTTTCAGTCGCTGTGCCAGACCCAGGGCGCAAGTTCATTGAGGAACACACAGAGTCACATATGTTCGACGCACACACACGCACTCACACACACACACACATGTATGCGTATCAGAAATGGGCCTAGTACCCAGTACCAAAGAGTGGAGCCAACAATTTAGACATTTCTCATAGAAAGACATAATTTTCAATTTAATAAAGGCCATCGCATAAATACGCTCGTAAAAACCTATCAAAACTTAAGATAGATGAGCACTACGTGCACTTGCTGGAAAGTCCATTAAAAGAGAACGCGGCGCTACGGCCAGCCAAAGGGTTGTTGCTGCGCAAGAGAGACGGCGATAGGCGGGTGCAACTGCAATTGCCTGGGCCGTGCCAGGTGGGAGGGAGACAAGGCACAGTCACATGTATATATGTGTGTGTGTTTTTTTTTTTTTTTTTTTTTTTTGGTGAATGGTGCGCCGAGTGCGCATAGTTGCATGTCTCCTCTACACGGCGGCAAGAGGCTGCATCGGGGTCACAATAAAATCAAAATTGATAAGCATCTTTAGTGTCCCAGGGGCACTGAGATGATCGCCCCGTGGTTTGGCATGCCACGGCTCTGTTCTGGCCATGGTCTTGCCGGTGACTGCAGTCGCTGCTGCCGCTGCTGCTGCTGCTGCTGCTGCTGCCGCTGCTGCATATTAAATTGTTGAATCAGTCACTGAGAATTCAAGAGAGACAAATCGGAGCACGTACACAGCGTCCGAAATTAATGACAATTGCTGATTGTGTGAGATAAACGGACGAGGCGCAGGGCAATTGGTGGAAACCGCGACAAACTCACACACACACACACACACACGCACACACAGTGAGAGTGAGAGAGAGAAGCTGAAAGACATTAGTAACACACAAAAGGAAGCCCTGAACACATCGAAAACCTCAGATTTTGACCATGGACCCCAGAACCGAGTCCAAGTCCAGGGTGTGCGTAGATTCCTCTGCTTTGATAAGCCCAAGAAAAAAAAAAAAAAAGAAAAAAAAAAGTAACCAAAAATATGCCGAAACAACACCAACAACAAAATTGTCGCTGAGTTGACGTCGTAAAAAGGTTGAGAAGGAACCCAACAACAACAACAGCAACAACAACAATAGCAGCAACAATCAGAACAACAACAACAAACAGATCAGCGCAATGCGTCTGTGGTATTATTATATGGCTCATAAAATATTTGTACAAGTCTATAAATGCCGCGTAATTTACTTCAGGCTTCAATTAAAAGGAAACTCCAACAATTCGAAATTAAATTGTTGCGGCATTTTATACATACATGAGTACATGAGTGTGTATATGTATGTAATGCATACCCTGTGCATGCGGGCCTAAAGGCTGTATTGGTTTTTACATGTTGATTCAGAATAGCATTCATTTTATTTTATTTACATATTTAATTTATTTTCATTGTTCTTATATAGCTTGACGATTTTTTGTTCTTTTTTTTTTATTTGCCTCCTTAATTTAACACTTGGTTAACTCTTTAATATTTTTTTAAAATAGTATATTTTATTTTTTTTTTATTATCTGTTGTTTGTTTGATTTGTATTTATATTTTATATATAATTTTATACCAATTGGTTTTATTTTATTTGATTTATTCTGTGTTTTTATATATTTTGTTAATTTTTAAATGTATTTACAAAATATTTCAGTGTTATATTTTTTATATTTTAATTTATTTGATTTTATTTGTAATATATTTTGTATGTTTTTTTTTTAGTTTAAATAACTATACATATATTATTATATCATTTATTATTCCTTTGAATATTTTTTTATTTAGGTATCATTGATTACATTTATTATTTTTTCGCTTAATAGTATTTAGTTAATACTTTACTATTTACATATTTTCATTTTTCATTTATTTTGTATTATTTTTTTTTATTTGTACATAGTTTTATTATATTTTAAATTTATTTGCTTTAATATTTTTAATTCATATTATTAGACATGCGTTCATTAATTCATTTTTTACTTTTTATTATTTGTTTATTTTTACAATTACTAATTATAATTTATTATTTCCGAATAATACTTTTTTTTTTATAATAAATTAAAATTTTATATATAATAATAATTAAATATTATAATTAATATATTTTTTTTAAATTTAATTAATTTTTTTTTTAATTTATTGTATTATTGTTATTTATGATATATTATTTATTCTTAACACACATTTCTTTATTTCTTTAAATATAATTTTTTTATTGTTAATATTATTGTTATTTTTTGAATATAATTTTTTCATTGTTAATATTATTGTTAATTTTATTATTTTCGATTTTTTTTTACTTATAATATATTATGTATATTATAATATTATTATTTACTAACGATACTCGATTTCAATACTCATTATAGCTCCTTTTATTTTTAATATTTAATATTGTTATTATTATTTGCATATTTATATAATAAATTGTTTTCTATTTATTTATATCATTTTATTGTTTTTATCTTATTTTCCATTCTTTCTTATTATTCTTATTATTCTTATTATTTTCTGTTTTTCTATTTTTATTTTTTTTTCTATTATTATTTCTTCTTATTATTATTTCATCCTTACAGGGTATCTCTTAGGCCCACACATTGGCGTACATTTTTGCCAGACTTCACATTGTCTATCATTCTTTCAAGTCGATTGCAATTGGGCTAACGCCGCGTATGCGCAATGCAGTTGCTGTGGGAATAAATCTTGCGGCTTTGCAACGTTTAGATAAAGCGCGCCGCGCATTTAAGAATGTGGATTAAAAAATTCTTGCCATTGAATTCATATCTGTGTTAGATATTATTTATTCTAGCTGTATGTATATGTATGTACACATATGTATATGTATGTATTTATAGAGCAGCACGACTAAGAAATGGATAACAAGACACTTGATAAGGGGCAGACAGACGAGACGGCAGAGCTCGAATGAGGACTTACCTGTTGACCTAAACCACGCCTCCCGTTGCCTGTACATTAATTTTGAATGAATGCCAGCCATACTCAAGTATTCAATTCATTTCTATACCCAAAAATTAAAAAAAAACTTGCACGTGTTCAGGGTTTACTTAAGATTTATTGTACAATATGCTATAGATGATTAAATTGGAAAATATGCACGCAGTGTTTTAGAAAAACAGAGTAAGGAAATAGTAAGTACATGTAAACATAATATGTGTGTACGTGTGTGTGTTTATTTGTGTGTGTGTGTGTGTCTGTTTGTGTGTGTATATATAATCTATTTATGATTACGTTTGGCGAGATACTTGATTAACGTTATTAGACTACATATGCAATGTTGGATGGGCTGGGGTCGACCAACCCAACTATCAGCTATTATCACAGTATCGTAATACAAGGCAAAAGTCGTGGTAACATTGAAAATACTTTGGACTTAGAGCTAAGCGAATGTTTTCTTTAGAATATGTGAGGAATGTTTTGCAAATAAATAATACGGTGAGGTCTTATGCTAAACGAAAAAACGAAAAAAACCGAAAACAAAATCCATAGAAATTTCGAATATACATATATGTATGCATATAAATAATAATGATGGATAATAAATACTTAGGCTAATTAGGATTCGGGTTCGGTTTGGATTCGGATTCGGATTCGGATTCGAATGTCATAGCCGTCTTTGAGAATGAGTTTCAGTTCATGAAATCAACTGTGGGGTTGGAGTCGGATGCTGGTCGGATGGATGGCTCAGTTCAGTTGGAATTCGAAATGGAACTATGCATATATAACTGGTAGCGAAATCTTAAATCTTAAGTAGAGAGGCCGCTAGCCGGCTGGTGTCTATTTGTTTGTTTGTTTCTTTTATTTTCTTTCGTTGCTTTGCAATCCCTCTTGGATTGCTTGGCCAGCAGCTTTGTCAGGTGCCTCAGGTACTGAATGTACTGGTACTTGACGAATCGCAGATCCAGGCTATCCGGCTGTCTGGGCTTCTCCGCTCGCTGGCCGTCCGCGGCCAGCACCGCCTGTCGATGCAGCTCCACCAGCGGCGTCTTCAGCTTCATCAGCTTCTTCTCCATGGGCACACGCTTCACCGTCCTCAGGGTCTTGTGGGTCTTGTGGTTGGGCGCATAGAGGCGACTGCTGTTGAAGGCCTCCTCAAAGTTGCAGAGCATGAGGCGTGCGCTGTTGCGCAGGCGCAGCAGCTCGGCCGAGAGCACGCTCTGCTTCTGTAGATTCTCCAGGTCCCAGTGGAGCTGGGCGTGCCGCAGATAGCTGAATGCGGCCACGTAGAACTGCAGATCGTGATGTGCGTGCTGCAGTGATAGCTGCAAGTAAACGAACGGAAAGCACAGAGATTTTCATTAGTTGAGTGCGTTGGGAAAGCGGCGAGGAGCCGGTTCGAAAGCGTAACGATTTGCTGCCTGGATTGGTGGATCTGTTGGTGGCATAGATCGCACCGATATCCGTTTTGATAACACAACGGGGCGGTGTAATCACAAGCCTCGCGGCCCAACCGGTTTAGTTCTGGCTGAGAACCGGTTGCTAACCGTTAAACAGCCGCCCTCGGCCACGCCCCATGCCCGAGCAATGTGCAGTGTGCGCAAGTTGATTGAACTCGCTGGCTGATTAATAATCAAAATCAATCATACGACACGTTGCCTGAAAGTGAAAATCAACTGATTCGTCTATAAACAAATTCGCCTATTCGCCCCGTTCGCCCATCTCCCTATCTCGCTCACTCTCTCGTTAACTGTGCTTTCGGTTTCGCAACGTATCTCACGTCCGCGTGCTAGTGACGTCGCGTCGCGTCGCATCGTTTGCCGTTCGTTCATCGTCGTCGTCGTCGTCGTTCGTTTGCTCGCTCGTTTGCTTGCTCGTTGTTGTTGTTGTTGCTGTTGTTGTGGTTGTCGGTCGTCATATGTTTCATTCATGCCGCTGCTGGGGGAATCCACGGCGCGCTCATTCGCATGATTCACGCGCTCGCGCGCGCGTTCCGTGTCGCTCTCGCTCTATCGTTCTATCTGTGTGGCCCGCTCTCTCTCTCTGTGTGTGTGTGTGTGTGTGAGTGTCTCATTTACAATATATACGAACGTTTAGATTGCTCAAACACATATCAACTCTGCTGGGCGCGCCCTTGCACCCGCGCCCTGCAGCGCCCCATTGACTCAGATATGTGCGAAATGATGTCGGGCTGTTGGCTCTTCTGTGACGTCAAAAGGCCGCGTGAGCTGCAAGTTCTTGGGAAAAGTGTGCGCCTAAACTCCAATTGCTGTTGTTGTTGTTGTTGTTGTATGATTTGTGATTTGCGCAAGCCACACTCTTGGCAAACACTAGCACTGTGCGTCTATAGGGCATTTTATTAATAGCCACGATTAGCTGTCAGAGCTCCACTCCCACGTTTCCTGGGTCGTCATCGATATTACAAGAATAACATCAACACCTCATCATCGTATGAGTGAGTGTGTGACTGTTAGAGTACTTCACAATCAACATCATTATAATCGGTTAGCAAATCGCATCAGTTGCGGAACTCTGGCTAAAACCCTAACGATTTCACTATGAGCCAGTAATTTTTGCTGTCTTCTCTTTATATACATATATATTTTTTATTTATTTTATTTTATTTAATTTTTTTTTTTTTGGGTTTTTTCCTATGCGCAGCTCCAGTGACGTCAATAAGAAATTCAGCGAAAGCCGCTCATTGTTATGCCAATTATTATTAAACACACACGCACACACACACATACACAGAGATGTGTTTGAAGATGATGTTAGCTGTCTAAGTATAGAACAGAGCACAACAGCAGCATCAACTGGGAATTAGCCAAATAACAGATTGATCAAGAGAGAGGGGGAGAGAGGGGGAGAGAGTGGGAGGCGGAGTGTGAGACAAAAATCTCTTCAATATGAGCTAATGCTCTCTCTCTCTCATCCAGCTTCAAAGTCAAGTCAAAGTTCAGGCTAAGAACATTTCGGCTTACAGCCACAATTAGCTGAGCTCTAAAAAATAATGCCTAATAAATTTGTTGTTTTTCGTATACCATAAAAGAAAAAAATAAAACAACAACAAACTAGCAAAATAAACTGAAATTTTGTGACTACGTTAATTGAAAGCTGAACAAAATGTTCTAAAATTAAACTAAATATAGCTGGAACGCGTGCAGAAATTTTTGGTTATTTCCAAAATGCAATTTTACAATGTTTATCCAATATTATATGTATATGTATATATATATGTGTGTGTGTGCATGTGCTTATATATTTCTCTCTATATATATGTACTTCTTTATAGCCCTTCTTTGTTTTAATTTTTAGATTTCTCAGATAAGCTTTATTTTTAACGTCACTTTGCCTGAGTGAGCAACGTAATCTACTTCCCATTTCTGGCAAGGCCCGGTATGTCAGATAAGTCTGTGTATATACTACCCCTATATATGTATGTATAGAATGTGGCTACTGTCATACGATTAGCCATCAAGTTCTTGGGCTGCTCTAGCTGGCAAATATTATTCACAGTCTTTATCAGCTCCATTCAGCAGCTGTTGAAGCGGAAAGAGTCTATAAGTTGTTCAGATATAGCACACATACATAGAGAGCAAGCATATATAACATATGTATAACATTTATATAACATGCGTATGAAATATTCATGGCATATGTATAACACTTCTATAACATCTATAAAACCACTCACATGTCTTTGACCCAAATCTTTTCCAGTCTCTGCCTCTGACTGCTCTGCGGCTTCACTGGGCCGTCGAGCGAGCATGTTGCAGTCGGTTACAGCTGTTTGGAAAGTTCTTGCTTGCTTGCTACATATATATATATATATATATATATATATATATTTTGTATTGTATTATTTTCATATACTTGTATATTTGTTTTTATTAATTCGCGTGATTCGTTACGTGTATTTGGCTTTTAGCGCATCATTAGCCTTTACGAGTGGGTTGCAAATGGAAATGCGCATACGAATTCGAGTTCGAATTCGGCTGCGGCTGCGGCTTCGGCTTCGACTTGGAATCTTCAGCATTGAAATGAATCTGCATATTTGCGATCACGTTTCGATCAGCTGCCTGGGCCCACATAGCATATACGGCGCGTGTCTCTGTTGTTTGGCTTTGTTGATTTGCCTCGATTGAGGTTTTGTTTTTTGTTTTTCCAACAAATTAGCCGAGATACGAAATGAAACTCAGCTGCCTCACACACGCACACGCACACGCACATATATTTTATATAAATGTATATATACTTATATTTCTATGCATATTTATGTCGAAGTCTAATGAAACGTGCTTCAGCTGACATTGAGGATGTCGCGTGTCGCCGCTGCACACTCGGCGTATGCTTAATTGCTGCTATTTCTGCTACGATTTATTTGTGAAACGGCCCTCGCTTGTAAGTGCTCGACCGCACTCATATGACTGACTCGCGTTGGCTTGTGACGGCGATTTTTTCTTCATTTTTTTTCCCCCCCCTTTATATTATTTACTTTGCACCTACGCAATGACGAACGGGTGAAATGCTACCTCACGTGACCCACTGCCAAGCACTTGCTTGCCATTTGGCTCTTGGCTCTTGGCTGTTCGATGTTCGCTGTTCGCTGTTCGCTTTTCGCTTTTCGCTAATCAAATTGATTGCTTCACGCATGAAATGTGGTGCTTATGAAAAGTTGTTAACTTACTTGCTTGCTAACATTCACCCTGGGCAGAAAATCGTATTGGCTGTTATGCAGACTCCACGTCTTGTGCTTGGAGATGTCGATCGCCTGGACGACGCCGGTGTCCTGCGCCTTTACCGAGTGCTCCAGGTGCCGCAGTGCGTTGTCATCGCGCAATTGCACCAGCTCGCGCCGTGTATTATTCCGCAATGTGCGTAGCCTCTGTAACAATAAGGAAATAGGTCATTAAGATATATTTTATACTAATAAACGTGAAAATCATATACATATACATATATATATGTAGTTTGAGATAAACTATCAAATGGAAAGAGAAAATTAATTTTTTATTGCTTTTTTTTATTGCCTTTCTCAATTGATAACTCAACTTGAAAATAAGCAAACCAAAATTCATATAATATATAAAAATCGAGAACAGTTATCCATTTTTTGAAACAAACTAAATGGAAGCCTGCTATACAGCGAACTACACAACAAATTTCAAGTCTCTAGCTCCCATAGGTTCTGAGATCGACACAATCTTGCATAAGGACAAATGAACGAACGGATGGATAGAGCTGAATTGATTTCAGCTTGATCAACATGAATTTTTCAGCATATGGTGTAAGAAAACTGGGAATAATAAAGTGAATATATATATGCTATATATTTAGAAAATATATACATATATAATTTGAGTTATTTTACATCGATTTCTTATATGTACTGCTACATTCATATAAAAAATTCATTATTGAAATTTCATATTTATATACATATATTCATATATTCCAATTCATTCTTTCCATTATCTCTCCCTTTCTTTTCCATTCTCGTTTCTCTGCTAATATTTGCGTTCCTCTCATTAGGCTGTACTTGGGATATTAATTAACATTGATTATATAATAGCTTCATTTGGGACTCTTCGTAATTACTTAGTAAGTTTCCCCCCAACACTTTCTGTCTTATCTTAGTTCAATAATATCATCGACCAAATATGACTCTGACTTGAGGGGCATATCTGGCCCCATCAGTCGTAGCTGATATTATTGAGATATTTGGCCGTTCCTATTCAGGCATTATGCATTGGACGTGCTTAAGCGTTATAGCTAGGCTGACTCTCGTCTTGTCAATCTTCTTTCAAATAAATAAATCAGCAATAAGGCATCGCAGGCAAACTTTTTCACTGCATAAACTCGATCGATCCGATACGAATGTGTCATAAAGATTATGAGATCGATACGAGAGTGAGTGTGTTGGGGTTGTCGATAGAGACTTGTTGAATGGAACGGAATGGAAGACACCTGTTGAGTGGAATAGAACGAAATGGAATGGGATGGAACAAAATGGAATGGTATGGAACGAAATGAGATAGTATGGGACGGAATGGAATGGAACGGAATGAAATGGAATGGAATGGAATTGTTTGGGGGATGGCTGACGTACCTGTTTGTGGTGGAGGCAGCTCTGCCTGCGCGGGACGGTGACTGGACGGGGCCACCGATCGGGACCTATCCACTTGCCACCGCAGCTATTGCTCCAGTCCGGCACGGTGTTCCTCAGCTCGCGCTGGAAGCTCATCTGGAAGCTGATGCTCTCGTGCCGCTTCTGCATGCGGCGCGTCCGTCTCGTTTGTCGTTCGGCGGCCAGCTTGGCGGCGCTGTCGATGAGTGGTGCCGGTGCAGGTGGTGCAACAGCAGTTGCTGCCGCTGCTGTGGCTGCTGTGGCTGCTGGTACGGCCAGGGCCAAGGCCAGGCCAGCGCCAGAGCCAGCGCTGCCGGATCGCAGCAGCTCCTGCAGCTGAGCCATGAGCAGGGCGAGCATTAGCAGCGATCGCCACTTGGATGGACTCTGTGTGGACTGTGGAGGACGTCGTGGTCGGGCGCTCTGCTGCTGGTGCTGCGGCCTTGCCCCCCTCGCCGTCGTCGTCGTGTCTCGCCTTTTCCGTGCGTTCCCCGTTTTGCTGTTGTTGCTGCTGCTGCTGCTGGCTAGAAGCTGAGCAACAGTTGTCGTCTGTCAAAATGATCCAAAATGAAAAAAATAAAAATAAAAAAAAATCCAAACAAAACACAAAACAATGCAGTTTGTTTGCCAAGGGGATTCCCGTTAGTCAAGTGCTTTTTTGTTTTTGTTTGCCTTTGGCTTTTGTTTGTGTTTCATGGCGTGTGTTGGGTTAAAAGCGATTGGGCCAAAACGTGCTTGGCCTGACGTTATCGTTATCGTTTGTTTCAGTCGTTGCCGTTGTTGTTGCTGTTGCTGTTGTTGTTGTTGTTGTTGTTGTTGTCAATGTAGTTGGATTTATTTTTATTTTGTATGTATGTGCGTGTGTGTGCGTCGGCTGACATAATTATTTAAAATAAAAGTCTTAATTTGGCTGAATCATCAGGCATAAGCGAATCTCCGCAGCACACACACACACACACACACACACTCGCAGTCGGCAACACTGCGCTACAAAGTCAACGAACTTAGCCCACCCCGCTGGCTTCTTGCGCACTTTTGTGAAATTCACTGAAGTTGGCTTTTTGTGGCCGAAGTCAACGTCGCAAGTCAACCTTGCGTTTCTCTCTTTCGCTCTCTGCCTCTCCCTCTCCCACTCCCACTCACACACGCTCTCTCCCTCTCTCTCTCTCTCTCTCTCTCTCGCGCTCTCGCTCTCTTGTCCATGCCAAAAGGCCGGCGTTGTTGCTGGCTGACGCATCGTCGCGCACGCTCTGACTTGTTGCTGCCGCTGCTGTTGCCAAACAAAACAGCTCATCCCACTCCCTCCCCTCTGCGCCCTACGCACCCGCCCGCTCCATCTGCCGCCCACTGCCCATTGCTATGCGCCACGCCCCGAACGTGTAAATTAATTTCACATGTTTGATTTGAATTGAACTTGTTTTTCGGCAACTGCCGCCGCCGAGTGCCGCAGCTCAACAGAAGAGCGCTTGGAGCTCCCCACCTGAGTCAGGTATGCTAAATGACATTTCAACTCCAGCTTGTCATGCCCTGCACCGCTGACTGCTGCAGGCGTATAGGCTATAGGGTATATAGACAGTCGTTATTCGATACTCGTTATTGAAAAGTGAATTCAATTGGCTTCAACGAGTTTTAGCTGAAGTTATCCATCCTGCTCCCTAATAGGAGAGCTTTTATAGGGTATATGCTATCTTTGCTGCATATTCAAAAGTGAAGCAACTCCCGCTTAAGTCATTCTTCCTAGTTCTTATCACTCAAGCAACTCAGTGCACACCCTGCACTCATTGCCAGGCTATTATAGGGTATATAGAACTGTTATTACATATTCAAGTAATACTCTCTAGTTCTCTCCTGCATACCCTGCACTCACAGGCAATGCAACACAGGGTGTATGCAACCGTTATTAAAGCCGGTCAACAAAAGTTTTCTAAAGTATTCCCCTCCATCTCTTATCCTCTTAACAGCTAAACTCATATACTGCATTCAGTATCAGATAAATATAGGGTATATGACAGTCGTTATTCAAAAAGCAAAAGTTAATTCAACAATCTTTAACAAACTTTTGCTGAAGTTATCCATCTAACAACTAAGTGCATACCCTGCAATTAGTCTCAGCTAAATATAGGGTATATACTATTGAGATTTGATATAAGTATAAAAGTACATCTAACTAAAGTAACACTGCCTTGAACAATCCCCTCTAATTCACACACCCTAAGTGCATATCCAATCAAATTAGTATAGGGTATATGCAGTCGTTAATTCAACAATCTGTCGGTAAGTAGGCATTCCAATTTGTTGACCTATGCCCCAAGCGATCTCCCTTCAGCGTCAGGTCCAATGCTCTAAAGGGTATCCCAGAGTCGCTCTGGCCGGAAATCGTTTATTATGGTATTATTGCACTGATAAACGCATGACGATTTCTTAGGAAATACGGCTTACTCCAGCACTGTTTGTATCAGCTTCTGGAGCACATTGCACCAAATGGCATTAGTACTATTTGCTAAAGTAGCCGGAGCCAGTTAGGGAATATGCACCCATGTAGGTCAAGGTGGTTCCAATCCCAAGAGAGTTTATATATACATATATGTATATACATACATATATAGTAATAAAAGTCTGGCTAAAATTCCGAACTATATAAAATTCTTCTAGAACAAGTGTTTCTCTCTCTCTCTCTCTCTCTTTCTCTTTCACTATATACATATATAGTATATACATATATTATATATTATATATATATATATATAACTGCGCTACTTATCAGTGGAACACGTCAGGAGCGTCAGGTTGGTTTGCTTAAAGACCAAAATAATAAAAAGTGCACAGCCAAAAACAATGCCAACTACAACTAAAGCAACAACAACACACAGACTGTTCGATAAGGCAATTGATGGGAAAAATGTCGTACAACGTGTCAGTGTGTGTGTGAGGTGGAAACCAAATGCCATAATTCGAAAATTAATGAAATTAATACTCACCATTTACACATAAATTTCCAATGAGTCCTGTGCGAGCTGCGCTGGAAAAACCTCTGCGACGTCTTCTCCTAGTCTCTCTCTTTCTATATATATATTTATATATATATATTTATTTATATATATCCGTATATATAGTTCAAAAGCTCAGTCAAAAAAAATAATAATAATGATGTGTGAGAGAGCGCTCGCGTCTCTGATTGGTTGTTAAAACAATAAACTCGCGAGATTGAAATGCACTTCGATAATAATTTAATAACAAGCAAAAAAAAAAAAAAAATAATAATAATGATAAAACTTCGGTTCACGTTTTGCAAAAAAAAAAAAAAAAAAAATGTTATACAAAATATGAACAACAAATATTGTGTATATGTTTTACGAATTAGTATCTTGCAGATATATTATATTGGTTAAACGTCGACGCGCTGCGTTTGACTGCCTGTTTTGATTTGAATTGAGTGGCCGGCGATCGGATTCGGGCTGGCTCGGGCTCTCTATTTGCCAACTTTCGCGCAGAGAGCGGCAACAGCTGAGGCAGAGGCTCAGGCAGAATCAGCGGCAGCGGCAGCGGCAGCGACACAAGCAGAGCGACGGCAGCAACAGCAACGAGCGAACTAAACTCTTCAGTTACTATGAACGTACTAATGAGGAGTATAACGAGGTGGCCCCCTCTGGCCAAGAATTTATGCTCGTTGGTGTGAGTAAGCGTGGGTAACTGTATCTGCCTCTGTGTGTGTGTGTGTGTGTGTGTGAGTGAGTGAGTGTGTGCAGATTCGCGACCGCCTCTGAGCGCGCGCAAGCGCATGTATGAGTGTGAGTGTGAGTGTGAGTGAGCTTGGGTGAATCGACAATCTAATTACGCGAGCCTGTGTGGGTAGCGTCTGCGTAAAGCGAAAGACTAGAAACAATAAATGAACATTAAATAGAGTTAATATTTGCTAGATGGCAATAATAAATAGCTGAATTAACTAGATGACGCCGCCCCCTAACACAGCGCTGGCCTTGCCAATCACAACTACACATATCAGCAGCGCTCACAACAGCTGTTTTACCCACATACACACACACACACACACACACACACACAGAGAAACACTCCAGCCTGACGAGCGTCGGCCGAACGCCGGCGACAGTGGCCGAACAGCTGAGCACAAACAATGAATAACTGTGAGTGTGCCCTGCATGCGGCAGATCTGGAGTGAGGCATATCAATAGTGCCAAGCGCTTGGCAATTGCTGGAGCTGGCATGAAAACGCTCAAGCGAGAGACAACTAACAAATAACAATTGCCAATAAGACAACAAATATTATGCACATAGTTTCATTATTATTGTCACATTCATATTGCATTGCCCAAGTGGCTCGAGTAACTCGCTTGATTTGCGCAACTGTAGCGCATTGCTGCAGTCGCTAGGAACGTCGCTGCCTGACGTCGCCTGTTGTTCTCTCACTAGCGTCGCTCTCTCACTCTCTTCTTCGCTTCTTCTTGTTATGCTGATTTGGTGCGGCCAGCTGGCGCTCTCAGCGTGATCAGCTGTTCGCGCATTTAGCAAACGCAGCCGAGCCGAGCGTTTGAGCGCTTCGTATTTCTCTCTCCCTCTCTCATTTTTCATAAATCTGATTTACTCTTTCTTCTTTTGCAAAATAAACAAAGCGTATTTTGAGTCTTCTGGCCGAACAACAAACTTTTGAATACCCAAATATGAACATTTGTTAACATTATTTCCGTTATCAGTGAGGTAGGCGGGGCCTGTTATCAGTTCAGTCGAATTGTGTTGGACCTTTGAACCAGCGGAAGCATAAGCCTTTGCAAATGCTTGATGTATATCACTTCCGAATAGTGCTGTGCGCTCGGAAAGTTGCAAACCGTGTGTTATTCATCGCTGTAAAAACTTGGGTCACACGCACACCGGCCCAGAGAGCGAGTGAGAGAGAGGGAGATAGATAGCATTTGAAATGGGGGAAAAAAAAATGCCGACGTCACGGAACCTCATACAAAATTTCAGTTATTTCCGTTCAATTTCACAAGAACTCAATTACTCATACGTAGCGGTGTCTGCCATGCCGCCGGCTAGTCAAGCTTGCTCTCTCACACACAGACACATACATATGCATGTACACTTGTGCTTGTTGTCGCCACATTGGAGGTTCATTCATGAATTTTTTCGCGCCGCCGCAAACAGAGCGAGAGGCGATTGGGTGAGCGAGCGAGAGAGAGGGAGAGCGCACGTGTATTGTCACAAATCGTAAGCTAAATTTCACCATGCCTAAAACATGATCAATCTAAAAATTATTGAGCGCTCTTACTCATGGAGACGTCGCCAATTGAGGCGACTCCATGGCCCATTATTTAGCACTCGCATGATTGGCCCAAGCTATTTTTAAACTATTGTGTAGCGGCGCGGGCGTGAAGTTGCCATTTGGTAATCTTGACTATTTGTGTTTCCAATGTGTGTGTGTGTGTGTGTGTGTGTGTGCATTTTTGTTTTCGCTACCTTTGGGGTCAGCAATTGATCGAGCCGGCGCCTTCACAAAGACCTTTTCGGAGCTGCTCGCTCATACTTTGGCATGCAGTTGTGATTCTCTGGGATTTCCCATTGACTGGGGCCCGGGGCCCGGGGCCGATCGCACTGTGAGCCGAACATTGTATTATTACCTAATAAGTCAAATGTCTAATGTGTAATGAGCGCTGGATGACGTGCCGCGTGGCGTATGAGTAATATGCAAAGCATGACCGAAAGCAGAAAGCGAATCAATCACGCAGCCATTTCAAAACGAGTCCACTTGAATTAGAGCATAATTAGTATTGCTCCTAGAATAGCTTTTCGATTTCGCAAAACTGAATATATCACAAATAGAGGTGGTTAGCCAGACTTAGTCAAGCGACACACACACACACACACACACACCTACATACATATGTAATTAAATCGATAAGAAATCGTTCTGATTAGAGTTTTTTGTTTTTTGTTTTTTTGTTTTACTTTGACTAGACTAAAGACTCGTATCAGCTTTTGCCCTCGTTCGATCAGTGGGAGGAGACGCTGCTCTGTTTGCCAGCTCAGCGCATGACTTGGAGCTCAACAATTTCTGACGACACTCGAATAGTAACCGAATAATAATGCTAATTTATTAGCCAATCGATTTGAAACAGCTACTAAAAAAAAAATAATAAAAAAAAAAAATAAAAAAAAAAAAAAAAAAAAATGCAGCCTCAAGCGTCGAGCGAGCGATCTGAGTCATCAAATTCATTTCGAACTGAACTTGAATTTTGTGTTTATTGCTTTTTCTTCTGCTTTTCATTCTGACCATGCAACATTTGTTGAGTATTTGCGCAAAGCAAATACCAAGTGCCAGATATATTCATAGTTCGTCTATGGCGCATCGGGCGTATACGCAACGCGTAGCTAATTTAACAAGTCGCAATATTTGTTTGTATAGAAGAGCGCGGAGTCGAGGAGTTGGCTGTATTTAGAGTGTTATACGTGTTATACGCATTATACGTGTTATACGAAAGTTGAAGCTGTAGGCGAAAGGGATGAAGAGAGAGAGAATGAGAGAGTGAGAGAGAGTGAGAGAGGGAGGGGTGCAGGGGGCAGCCATGGGGCTGCTGCCCCATTAATGGTCGGTAATTTGGTGAGCGCTGTGCGTTTGGTTTTCATGTTTGCCGACGCGCGAAATTTAAAAGTTTCACACATAACAAAGTGCGAAGGATGCAGATCGCCAGAGCCAAACTTAATTAGCGCCCATTGCAAAAATATTTACGGCAAAACAAAATAACACCCATTAAGCAAAGGGAGAAAACAACAACAACAACACAAGGAAGGAAAACAAAAGCAGCGCAAACGCGTGATGATCACTGGGTAACGCCCCTGACAAAGCCCCAAAAGAGGAGACGCACAGGCACAGACCACGTTCAACAGCAACAAGGCAGCCAAAAAAAAAAAAAAAAAAAAAGAAGATGCAAAAGAAGAAGCAGAAACTGAAATAAAATAAAACACATGCAAGCTGTATGAGCATCAAAGGCCACAACAGGAGCGCGATTCAGCCATAGCCTGGCCATGGGAGGTACAAACGCCTCAGCCAAAGTCAGAGTCAGAGTCAGAGTCAGCATCCCGGTCCCGGTCTGGCTCTGGCTCTCGCTCATTGTCCGTTCTGGCCGCAGCCGTCATTATAAGCCGTCACCTTGTTGTGTAGACATTGGCCATGGCCACCGCGCAGATCCACAGACAGAGACGCTGCTAACTGCTAATCCGGTTCGGGTTCTTCGGGTTCGGGCACGGCGGCGGCAATCGCTGAAGTGAAATCAACTCGTTAAATCGTTACCAAAACTGATCCCATTTAGCGGCGCAGTGCGGCGCCAGCCAGCCAGGCCCAGTGAATGCGCTACACTTGCAATGCAGACGGCTGGGCAGCTGAAGCTGCATATTAAAGATAAATTAATGAATGAGAAATGAAAACACGATATATGTATATAGATATGTATATATAACTCTAGATATGTACATATATGTATATATATATTTTACAAATTCCAATTGGAGTTGGTAGCGTGACAAAAGGCTGTGCTGAACGGCTGCTTGGCCAGTCTTGCGGCATCTTGCGACTGGGCATTCGCGTCATCGGCGTCATCAGCAGCAACACCAAGCAGCAACAGCAACAGCAACAACAACGACAACAACAACGACGACAACAACAACAGCAACAGCAACACCTTCATCATTATCAGCGGCGGCGGCGTCTTCGATTTGGTGCTGCGTCGCCTGAGGGCGCGTTGAGCAGTTGGCGCTGCTGCTGCTGCTGCTGTTGGTGGTGCTGTTGGTGCTCTCTCATCGGGGCTGGGGCCCGCCAATTGCGTTGCCATGGAAGTAGGTGGTTATGATGATATACTTTGGCTGTTTGGCTTAGCTGTTGAAAGCGACCTTAAGCGGCTTCCGCTGCAGCAGCAGCAGCAGCAGCAGCAGCAACGACTCGTTTCAGAGTCGGCAATATTGTTGCATGGTTATTGTTTCTACCAAAGGCGCAAAGGCAAAGGTAGAGGCAACGGTAGAGGCAACGGTAGAGGCAAGGCAGAGGTGGCAATGGTAGAGGCAAAGGATATGCCA